AAATGCAACACTAATACTCTCATATAAAATGCCTATTTAGGTAATTTAAATTAGTACCGGTATATTTAGTATAATCATTACTTCACAACTCAATATCAGAAAGGGTACATATTTTTTTCTCAACAAGCTTACGAACACTAAGTTATGCAGATTCAGGCCAGAAGAAAAGTAAGAATAATAATACATAGTAGTGACTTAACACAAGATTCAAATATTGACAATGGTACTACTAAAAGCATATGTAAACAGTTGCATGTATTGAATCATCAAAATACTACTTATTTTGATCTTTGACACATCTGTCATTTAAGATGCTGAATTGTTCGAGTTAGGGACATGCAGTTACAGAAACATCAAGTTACAAAAATGACCACGCCCATATTTTACAAACCACACCCACCTTTGTAAAACCACGCCCAAATAAGTAACTCTGTTAAATTATCAGTTAACTGAACTTTGAGTTACAGGCAATATACATTTTTGTTTTTGTTGTGAATATTCACATTTATTAACTCTAATTACCAGATGATCGAACTTTGAGTTATGAATTTTTTTGTTTTGAATTAAGTTACTAGCAACATACAAAGTTAAATATTTATGTTGCCTGTAACTCAAAGTAGAGTTATAATTTGGGTGTGGTTTTGCAAAAGTGGGCTTGATTTCAAAAAATATGGGAGTGGTCATTTTTGTAACTCTATGTTCGTAAATCAAACATTTCAGCATCTCCTGTCATCTACATACACATAAGCAACTACTAATAATAGGAGGTTAATACGAGGATACCTCAAAGTATGCATGAAGACAGTATTGACCGACACGCAGGGGAGGTCGATGTGACTGTACTGTCTGAGCGCATACTTCGCGGCACCCTCGTATAAAAAAACATTATTATTATACATCTTTTCCTTCCGGGGATACATCATGGGAATGCCGAAATACAAAAAGTTTAGAACAGAATCAGCAAACTTCTTTATTTTTATTATTAGAGGACGCTTACCCTCGTAATTGTTCCATATTTGGAATTCGCATTTCCTAATATGGTAGGATAAAAATACCCTATAAAATACTGCGAAATTACTGCATGCTGTGGCGTTATGGTGACAGATGTATAATAATAGCAAATACATTCAAAGATGCATGAAAAATGTCAGGTATTGAAAACCATGCAACAGCATTTAGCATGTTAGCATTCCTAATTACAGGATACTCATTACAAAGACCCTGGTCTTACCCAATTAATTGTATTTATTAACAGTTATTTTAGAAACCTGTTAAAACCAAGTTCAGTTATGACGGTTCTATGGAATGCTTAGTCTGAGTTGATGTATGGACTACAGTAATTGTGTAGGTTTAGTTACACACTGGGTGCTACATGCTGTCTACAGCATATGGAATAAAATGTTTGGTGTACAATGTGTTTAGTTATTTAGTATGAAACTTACGACACTGCCTGACAACATTTAAGTATTTCCCAGTGTTAAGTATTTTATCCACACATGGCTCCAGGAACTTGGGAATCCTATCCCGACATATGGTATACCGTTTGTTCCAGTACGAGTCATTGTATTCTTTCTGAATTTGTTCTTTTTGAACGCTATCATCCTCCTCTACAAGGAACTGAAAAACAAAAACATTGCGACCCATTACTATGAGTTCTCAACTACAGTATGCACAGAGTCGCAGTGCAACAAAGGTCAAGATCTGTACAGTTGCCTATATTTTATTTAAAGCCCAAACCATACATTTATGCTATATACATTTGTATATCGATCAGAAACTTCTTTGCCAACATACATGTAGACAGTAAATGTTAGATGAGTGTTTGATCAGAATAGCATGATAATTTTGCAACTTTCTTAATCCACTTACTTCATGGTATGGATCCCGTATGATTCCTTTATAAATCCACTTACCTCACAGTA